GCTTAGGAGCAGCCCAGACGCTGATAGCAAAGTCTATTTTTAGGCAGCGGTTGTGATCAGTTTTTACTTTTGTGGGGGAAATATCAAACCATTAAATCAGACCTCTGAGTAGAGGTCAGCACCCTTTAGCTGCTCTTCCATCCTGCGGATTTATTTTTATCTTGCCCCTCCAGCGCAGCCATCGGGGAGCTGGCAGAGGAGGAGCGAAGACCTTTAATAATTCAGAGCTCCTACAATTTGCTCCCAGGGATCAGAAAAGTGAGTTGCTGGAAAGGGGCTGCCGGAAGCCTCCTCCATCCACACCACAGGACCTTGCCTGGACCAGGTGGCCGCCGTGCTTGCACAGCGCTCTGCCCCATTGTTATGGTTAAAATAAAAAAACTAAGTCCAAAATAGATTCACTAAATATTTATTAAGGTAGGAAAGCAAAAGCAGCGCTGGGCGGCCGGGGAGTCGCAGCTCCACCAAGGCTCCCAAATTCAAACAAGCTGAATAGCTCTTTTTATCCTCACAGAGGTCGGGTTTGACACCTTCAGTACACCCCTCTGCTTCTTCCCTTATCTTTACTCCATCTGGTCTGTCTTGCTTCAAAGCGGTTTCAAGACAATGTCGGCTGTAAATTAGTTCATACCCTTCCCCTTCTACCTGATGAATTAGTACAGAGTTAAAACACGGGTAACATTGGGGTTAAGCTTATCTTGTCAAAACAGGACATTCTCATATGGTTTAGCAATATAACATTGTGGACGTCTCTTCTTGTTAGGGAGTTCTCAGGACTGCCACAATGGGCTCGTTCTTTTTGCTTAAATTGTTTGGTCAGTAAATTACAATCCGACTTTAGGCGAGTTTGACAAGTGGTGGTGGCATAATCAGCTTGTGCCATCTCTTACATGCATTTGGTTAGTACAAGGATAAACATTCACTTACATAGACACATTTTGATAGCATTGCAGTTTGTGTAAGTCAGGACTTCCTTACACTATGTATAACAGAAAAGGATAATCCTAAGATTTAATCAGCAACAAATCTTCAGTTATTCATTACACCATGGCTTGCCTGTGCCTGGGACGTTGTGTGGGCTTGTGGGGCCCTGACCCAGGCAGGGGACCCAAGGCAGAGGACCCCAGGTGGTCCCTGGGCAGCAGCACTGGCAGTGGGATGGTGTTCAGGGTGGGCAGGCAGTTGGGAGGTGGCAGCGTGTGCGTGTCCACCACCCCAGCACGCTTGGGACTGACCCACTGTTGTACAAACACGTGCCATGAACTTCATCCCAGACAGTTGGCCCTTGGGTGTTCAAATAGCTCCTGAAATAATCTGCGCAGGCTGGGCCTGAGGAGGATTTCCCAGACCTCCCAGCAGCAGGGGTTTTGCTGGTGTATCGGGTTTTTTCTTTTCATGGAAAGCAATATTAGCACCAGGACAAGCTTTGAGTTTGCTTATGGAGCAGAGTTGATCTTTGGGATGGTCCTGTGTCTGGTGGAAGTGTGTTTTGTCCCCAGAGCCTTGTGTACGGTACCAGTAAGGCTCTGCAGACCACAGCATCCTTCCTTGCTCCCACCTGTCTGTGAGCCAGTGGTTGAGTGGTGAGGCAGAGGACTTTGGGATGGAAGGTGAACCTTGGCTGTGGAAGAGAGCAGGTCTGCAGGGGACAGCATGCTTTTGCTACATGCTTGCCTATCCCAGCAGAGAGAAGCTGACAGATGGGAGACTCCACTTTGGAGACCTCCTCTGCTGGTGCCTGCCCTATGAACACAGGCACTGCTGGGCTCAGCTTCAGACCTTGTAGTCTTGGAATCATGGAATTGTCAGAGTTGGAAGGGACCTCTAGAGCCCATCCAGTCCAACTCCCCTGCCAAAGCAGGGCTGCCCAGAGCACATCACTCAGGAGCATCCAGGCGGGGCTTGAAGATCTCCAGAGAAGGGGACTCCACACCCTCCCTGGGCAGCCTCTGCCAGGGCTCTGCCACCCTCACCCCAAACATGTTTCTCCTTGTAAGTGAGTGGAACTTCCCATGTTCCAGGTTGTGCCCGTTGCCCCTCGTCCTGTCCCTGGGAACCACTGAAAAGAGTCCGTCTCCATCCTCCCTCAACCCACCCTTTAGGCACTTGTAAACGTAGGTAAGGTCTCCCCTCAGCCTTCTCTTCTCCAGCTCTCTCAGCCTTTCCTCATCAGGGAGATGCTCCAATCCCTTCATCCTCTCTGTTGCCCTACGCTGGACTCTCTCCAGCAGTTCCCTGTCTCTCTTGAACTGGGGAGCCCAGCACTGGAGGCAGGATTCCAGTTGTGGCCTCCCCAGTGCAGAGCAGAGGGGGAGAATGACCTCCCTCCACCTCCTGGCCACACTCTTCCCTACGCAGCCCAGGATCCCATTGGTCTCTTGGCCCCAAGGGCACATTGCTGGCTCAGGGAGAGTTTACTCTCCACCAGGACCCCCAGATCCTTCTCTTCAGTAGTGCTTTCCAGTAGGTCCACCCTTAACACATACTGGTGCCTGGGGTTCTTCCTCCCCAGGTGCAGGACCCTACACTTGCCCTTGTTGAACTTCATTAGGTTCTTCTCTGCCCAAAGATGCACCTGGAGCATCCACCTTTCACAGAGGCTAGGAAGCTGCTCATCCATGAGCTTCTGCACGTGGGTGCTGAGGTCATTCGGGATCTGCTCCACGTGGGTGGAGGGAGCTGAGCTTCAGCAGCTGCTTTGGCAAAGCCCTAGGTGAGCTGGGTGTTACTGAGCCTGGTTTTGTTTCCGCGCTGGTGGCTGGTGCCTCGTGCCTTTGACTTGCTGCTCTGTCTCAACTCGTGGTTTTGCTCCCACCGACAGCTATACGGGGTGTTAAATTGCTTCCAGGGTCTACTTGATGCTCCCCTCCCATCTGGGCACAGCAGCTCTTTGGCACATGTAGCACAGGAGCCAGGAAAAGCAATTTCCAAAGAGCTCTTGCTCTCTCTGAGCAGGACCAAGGGCAGGCTGCAGAGGTAGGTGCTGTGGGTGCCTCGCACCTCTCCTCACCAGTACTGGTGGGAGCAGATGGTTTATTGGCAGCCAAATGCCACCTTCTGTCCTTGTGGTGCTTGCAAGAAGCTTCGAAGCTTTGCTATATTCTCCCTTGTCTCCTGTTGCCATGTTGCTCCTTAAATATCATCCACCCTAAAATATCGCTGGGATTTCTTGTCTCAGGGAGCATAGTACAAAATTGATGGGCAAATCATAGAATTATATGGGGTTGGAAGGAACCTCTAGAGATCATCAAGTCCAACCCCCCCACCGGAGTGGGTCTACCTAGAGCAGGTCCCACAGGATCTTGTCCAGACGGCGTTTGAATGTCTCCAGAGAAGGAGACTCCACCACCTCCCTGGGCAGCCTCTGCCAGGGCTCTACCACTCTCACAGTAAAGAAGTTCCTCCTCATGTCTAGGTGGAACTTCTTCTATTCCAGTTTGTGCCCACTTCCTCTTGTCCTGTCCCTGGGCACCACTGAAAAAAGACTGACACCATCCTCTTGACACCCTCCCTTTAAGTATTTATCAGCATTGATCAGATCCCCCCTCAGCCTTCTCTTCTCCAGACTAAAAAGACCCAAGTCCCTCAGCCTCTTCTTGAAAGAGAGATGCTCCAGGCCCCTCATCATCTTTGTAGCCTCTGCTGTCCCCTCTCCAGCAGTTCCCTGTCCTTCTGGAACTGAGGGGCCCAGAACTGGAGGCAGGATTCCAGTTGTGGCCTCCCCAGTGCAGAGCAGAGGGGGAGAATGACCTCCCTCCACCTCCTGGCCACACTAAATCTTTTAGTTAAACCGAGTGACAGCTTTCCTCATCTGTATTTACTGTGCGCTGATCGCTGTTAGGTTCCCTGTGGTCATGGATGTCCACATCTGTATCTTTGTGTGTGTTTTTCTGTGTTGTTCTTCTTGCACTGTGAGCTGTGGCTTGCCTTAATTCGATTGAATAAACCCATGGTTGCTCTTGCTACATGATAAGAGAGACTGCTGGCTGGTGAGCTCACTCAACGTGTCCTTTTCTGCTACTGGTTGCAGCTACTGGGTGATAAATGCAGGACCTCATCGTCATTCTGCTGATGCCTGTCTGATCCCTGGCTTTAATTGCTCTTGACTTGTAGGTTGTTAAAGGTTGGGGGGAGAAAGAAAGTTGAGCATATTAGTTGCTAAAGGTCTGGGAGAGGAAAGAAAAAGAAAAAAAAAAAAGTAGTTGAGGGTATTGGGAGAGGTGGTGGTTCCCCTGTCCTGGGCACTGGTGAGGCCCCACCTCAAGGGCTGTGTCCAGTTTTGGGTCCCTCACCACAAAAAAAAAGACATTGAGGGGCTGGAGTGGGTCCAGAGAAGGGCAACGGAGCTGGTGAGGGGTCTGGAGCACAAGGCTTATGAGGAGAGGCTGAGGGAGCTGGGGTTATTCAGCCTGGAGAAGAGGAGGCTGAGGGGAGACCTTCTGGCTCTCTCCAACTCCCTGAAAGGAGGGTGTAGCCAGGGGGGGGCGGTCTCTTCTCTCAAGTCACAGGTGATGGGACAAGAGGAAATGGCCTCAAGTTGCACCAGGGAAGGTTCAGATTGGCGATTAGGAAAAATTTCTTCACTGAAAGGGTTATCAGGCCTTGGAATGGGCTGCCCAGGGAAGGGGTTGAGGCACCATCCCTGGAGGGATTTAAAAGACGGGTTGACATAGTGCTCCAGAGTATGGTCTTGTGTTGGTGAGTGTGTTTTCTTTGGTTTTTGGTGTTAGTTTTCGGTTTTAGGTTTTGTTTTGGTTTTTTTTTTTTATGGTTAGACTAGATGATCTTAAAGGTCCCTTCCAACCCAGGTGATTCTGTGATTCTGTGAAATATGTCCTGTTAAAATCAATTCTTTTGAGAGATGAAACAAAGGGTACATCACAGCTTCCCCTGGCAGTGATTGCCCAGCTTTGCAGCCAGGTCCACATTTTGGATCTTTTGTGGTGGTGACTTGCCTGTGTTACTGCAGCACTGAAGTCCTTTCCCTTTGCTTCATGCAGTTGCTCTGAAGAATCACGGAGCCAAAGAGGTGGAGAGGGATGGAGACTGCAGCAATGGACCAGTTCCGGGAGCAGCAGCAGTACCAGAGGGCGAGTTGCTCCTACAGGTTAGTGCTCCTCGCTGGCCACCTCTCCCTGGCAGATGCCTTCAAGGGGTTTTTCCTCTTGTCCCTTTTCCAGCTCCTTTGAATTTTACCCAAAGAGCAGCCGTCGTGTCGTTGATTGCAGGCTGTTTTGGTGAAGCAGTGATTTCATGTAGCGTAGCTCATAGTGCTTCTGACTGAGCAGAGGTTCAAGACCTCTTCAGGTCTCTGGGGCAGAAACTGTGTGGCTTCTCCTTTCATCCTTCCTGGAGAAAATTGCCACCTGTAAATCATTTGGGTGTTTAGAGCCCCCTCCATCTCAGTGGAAGCAGTGCTAAACTTCTGACCTCGGAGATTCGGCTCTTCTGCTTCTGCTGTGGAAAAGGGGCCGTAGGTGTGACACAGGAACCAAGCAGAGCAAGACATTCTGAGCGTGGTGTGTGGTTTTGAACATGGACACACTGGTCCCAACTCGGGGATGTTGTCCGAACACTGGTGAAAACAGAGAAGAAAGTGTCACGGAAGCCTTCCCTGGTTTTCAGGCAGTGATGTTGGACACTGAGTACATAGAAAGGTGCTGATGGGCCATATCCTCAGCCCAAATACTCCAGGTGCCCTGGGAGCTCTGCCAGAGGTGTAGAGTTGGCTCCTTTGATGCTGGAGGCAACGCTGGTGATGCTGCAGCACGGCTGGACTGAGGCTGCTGCTTTCATGGTTTATTCAGAGAGGCCGGGAGATGACCTCCTGTCTCTGAACCAGCCATGCCTGGTGAATAGGAAGAGGTCAGGCTCCGGCAGCACGCAGTCCTGCGAGGACACAGGTCTCCCCTTCCTTCTCCACCTGACACCCAAGCATGGGCTGCAGCACTGTGCCCTGCCTGGCTGTCTTCTGGAGTGGGGTGAGCATGCTGGTCAGCCCCGGCTCTTTTCCTTTTTTGGCTCTCAGCAGTAAGTATAATTAGTGTCCTGCTTGAGAGCTGCTGAGCCTGGATCTCAGTGCCCGGTGAGAGAAATGCTAAAGCCAAGGTGGTTAATGACCAAATAACTGAGGGGTTTCTGCTGTGGATATAATAAAACCATGCTTAGCGGGGCTTGCTGAGGGTTGATGTCTTGCTCATCAGCGTGATGTCATCCTTGTAGAGGATGTTGAAAGATCTGGGGTTATGTTTGGCTCTTCCAGGGGCCTGTCTGTGATCCTGGACACAGCAGGGGCTGAGAACCTGCCTCTGTTCCACGAGGAAATGCTCCTACGTGTTTAAAAAAACTACTTCCACCTGGTCTGCCACCTTTGACATCCAAAATTACTTTGTCTCATCTCTTGGTGCACCCTGATTCTTCCCTTCCCCTCTTCTAATTTTCCCGCTTTACTTTTTTGGCCTGTCCTTTTCCGCCAAGACTGTCTCCAGGAGCGATCATCTCAGCAGAGGAAGGTATATGGGGTTAAGTGTGAAAATCCCTCTGAAAGGTTCAAGCTTTAGGAAGGCTGAGAACTGGGTGGACCACCCAGTTGCACAGCGATGCAGGTACATCTCAGGGGCTGCAGGGTGTTAAATCATCCTGCTGGTCGGTGCAGCTGGGGAAGGACAGAGTGCCACAAGATGTTGCTTGCTGCTGCCGTGGCAAAGTGATGCCTCTAAAGCTGCTCAAAGGGTTAAAAGTGCGTTTGGCAGCACTAATTGACCTCTGCTGCAGATTCCCACACACTGAGATCAACCCCAGTAAATAGAGAGTGTTTGTGCCCAGAATAAAGGGAAGGAGAGGGGGGAGAAACACCCACCAGGACAATGAAACAGGAGTTGGCAGCAACAATAGCTGGACTTGGCTGAGACTACATGAGCTAGACCCTAATTAATCCTGATGTCTATACATTACGAAGTGGGAGAAGCAGGCCAGGGCCTGCTCCTGGGGCTTCCCTGCCTGCAGCCAGGTTAGTGGTACAGGATGGTTTTGCCCTTGGACAGACATAGGGCTTCTGGGGTCCGTGCTGGAGGAGGACCTTTTAGAGGGCTCCTGCTCCAAGCTGGGAAGAGTGTCCCCATAGGGATATCTTGCCCTTAAGGGAGGGATGGCCAAATGGTGCTGTTATGGCTCTGAAAGCTGATCAGCTTCTAGAGAGCTGAACTGGTTATTTTCTTGGGCTTTCATGGACTTTGCCAGCGGGGTTTGCCCCCTGCAGTTGGCAAAGGCTGGTGGAGTGCCCGTGTGCCTGCAGCACTTCCCAAGTGCTTTGGGGTGCTCCTCTGGATCCTGCCAGTGCCTGCATTAGCAGTGCTTTCACATCCATCAGCTCCTGCCCGGTGCCCAAGAGCAGGGATGAAAAGCCAGGGCTCCCAGGACAGCAGCTGCACTCACAAACTGATGGGGAAGCTCCTCTGCATCTTCTGATCTTCATGGATCTCTAGGTGCAAAGGACACTGTCAACTGGCACCCTGGTCCTTTCTCCCATGTCCTGTCCAGCCAGCCCTCCGGCTGCTGGCTGAGAGAAAACACCAACCACCTCCTAAATTTGTTAAGCTGGTAGAAATAAGCCCCTTTTGAGAAAGATGGAGACTCTGATCAAGTCAGCCCATTCCTGCCTGGCAAAACAATGCTCCCTTGGATGTTGACTTTGCAGTCCTGGAGCTTGAGGAGAGGATGGAAGGGCCAGTGAACTGTAAAATATGTAAGTTGTGTAGCATTAAAAATACATTAGAAACTTCAGATTGATGGCTGCACTTTCTGTTTTCTGCAAGGAGGGCTTAATACCTCGAGCTTGCACGGGCGAAGCAGCTCGAGTGTTTGTTTTGTGAAAACAGAGCGTGGTGTTCGGCCTGTTTGGGTGGAAGGTGTGCAAAAATGAGCATGTGCTCCAGGATGGAGTGTTTGAATTGTGTAAATCCTTACACCACGCAGAGAGAGAGAGAGCTCCAGAGGAAGAGCATGGCTAGGAGTGTCTCGTGACTAATGTCTGCGTCCCAGTCATGGGTAGCTGCAGACACCCTTTACCCCACGGACACTAATGCTTGGTGCTTTTGCTCATGTGATGCTTTGGAAGGATGGTGCTGTGCAGGTTGGATGAGTGTCTTGCATCAGGTTGTGGCTGTGAATGTGTTTGGGGTGAATCATTTATTTGCCAAATGGAGAAGGTACTCTGATGTCAATAAGTCATTCTGTGTTTTTCCACCACACCAGGGACCAGACTCAGCCTGTCCTCCCTCCTGCTTTGGAGGAATCAGAAGCTAGACTTTTTCATTACAGTTTCAAAAAAACAAACTCTTATGCTTTAGCTTTCATTTTTTTCCATTTTCATTGGTTAAGGCACTTTGCAGCGTTGGGTGGGCCACCTTGACCTCAAGGAAAGCGATGGTTGCACAACGGAGCAAGCAGTGGAGACAGCACCTCTAGGCTGGTCTCTTGTTCCTTGCCCGTGCACAGCCCTCATGGACACACCACAGTCCTTCTCCAGGCCTGTCCTCTGGCACCTGGGGAGGACAGGTGGGACATGAATGAGGCCAGGAGCTAGCTAGGTTTCTCCCAAACCTGCAGGAGTATCCCCATGCACATGGGCCAAGCAACAGTAGGGAATACACAGTCAACGCTGGCAGCACGTGGTGATCTGCAGTGAATTTGCTCCTCAATGAATGTCCCCCAGCTCTTCCAACCCCACGTTGTCCCAGGTCACACACAGCTGCTGGGACCCTCCTGGGCTGCAGAGAGGATGGATCCACCTGGATAGACACAGGTCAACATATTAAATGCAGCCTCTGTGAAATGCTGTTTTGATTCAGTGTTGTCAGAAAGGCTTGTTTCCACCAGGACACAAGAATGGGCCACCTCCTGATGGTGTCCGGTTTTGTTCCGCAAGCCGTTCTGAGACTTTCATTTGCTCTTTGCATAGAATGAGTATAAATGTCCAAATCTGAGTCTGAGCAACTTCTTTCGGGGTGGAAGCAAATTTTCCCATCAGTTTGGATCAGGGTACACTTGGGCAGCTGTAGGAAGAGTTATGTTACCTCAGAGAAACCCAGCATAAGGTTTGTTTTCTTGGGGAGCACAGCTCTGCCAGCATTGATTCCATTTTTTCTCCCTCCGGACTTCATTTGCCCAAGAGAGGCAGAATGGGGGACAATTTGAGAATGAGCTGCAGACCTTGACCCCTGCTAGGTAGAGCAGAGTCGTGAGCTCTGCGAGAACCTGTGTTTTGGCTGCGTGTGCTCTGACAGTGTGGCAGGGGACGTTGCATAGAGGCAATTGCCAGAATGGAGGTCTCTGGTGGTGTTCCCATCATCCTGAAGGAAGGGTATGAAACCAAGAAGTTTCTTGAGCAGTGTATTGGTGGATTTGGTGAGAGCCAAGGCCGTACTCAGCGTTGCAACAGAGAGATGCCATTGGGAAGAGCTTCCTTTCCTTCCAGGTTTCCCCATGCTTTGTTGTCTCCTCTACACCTTTCTCTTGGTGGAGCAGCTACTCAGCTGCCTGCTAGCTGGGACCAGCCAGGACTTGGGTGACCAGTGTCTGCACACAATGAAACCTGCTAGAAAAGTGTGACGTGAGCGTGGCCCGTACCTGCCGATCTCCTCTCTCCCCCTAGGCGCTCAACGGCTTTGTCCTGGTGGTGACATCGGAAGGGCTGATATTTTACTCCTCGCATACGATTCAGGACTATCTGGGATTTCATCAGGTTGGTGAGACACCTCCGACTCACTGTGGTGGGTTTCCAGAGTGGTTTTTTCCTTGGTGGCCAAAAAGCTCCAATTTTTTTGTGGTTATCTGGGCACCCAAGTAACCTGGAAGGCACTAGGTCAGATTTACACGGAGGTGGGACCTACCTACAGTCCTGTAGTTACTGTGGTTCAGTGTTGCTCCCACACAGCTGGCTTTTCCACAACATCCAAGGTAGATGAAGACCGCCCACCCGGGCAGAGGGAACAAGTCCCAGAGCATGTGCCTTGTTCTCTCAGGAACAAGTGTAGGGCTGGAGTGGCTTTGCTGCTGTTTTGTTCCATGTTTTCATCTCATCCTCTAAGTCAGCACAAAGATTCTGAAGGACATCACGTTACGGGGCCAAGCATGTCAGAGGGGAGTTGTCTTGCAGATGTCAGTGGCTCTTTAGGATAGGGAGGGGGAGAGGTCTGGCCCAACATAGGCAAGGGCTCCTTAGAGCCAGATGTGCTGTCTGTTCCCACCAGCTCTGATGGAAGGTGTCAAACCTCATTCAGCCAGGGACATAGTTGAGCACCAGGGAAACCGGGTGAGATAGGGCCAACTGGGGCTGTGACAGGCTCTTTCCAGCTGGGGTGTGAAAATTGGTGCCTTGGGACAAGCCACAGAGCTCATGAATTGCTTTTTTCCTCTAGACAGATGTCATGCACCAGAGCGTCTTTGAGCTGATTCACACTGAGGACCAGCAGGAATTCAGGCGGAACCTCCACTGGGCTCTCAACCCACCTCATGCCCCCGAGGGTGAGCCTTCTGCAGAAGGTAAATGCAGGCTGGAAGCCAGCCATCCTGGTAGGCACGAGATGTTGTAGCTCCCCACATATACCAGGAAGCCCAGCTCTCTGCCATCGCTTGCATGAGGCTTTATGTCCTTGTGGCTCAAGCTATAGCCTCATCCAAACATTGTGGCTTTCTTTCCCTGAGTTTCCATCAATGTGCTCTGCAAACTGATGCAGTCCCTCGTCCTGGGGATCTCCAACCCAATGGCTGGGCATTCTTGCTTGCTCCTTTCCCAGTCCCTCTTTCCCACAGGGGAGAAGAGTCTCGGCTCTTCTGCTGTCACCTACAAGCCAGATCAGCTGCCCCCAGAAAACTCCTCCTTTCTGGAAAGGAACTTCGTGTGCCGCTTTCGCTGCCTCCTGGATAATTCCTCTGGCTTCCTGGTGAGTACAGACCCAGGCTGTGACCTCTGAAGCAGGAGGGCTGCAGGCTCTCCCCAAGGGGGTCCACGCCACTGCTGGAGCATATTAGTTGGTCTTGAAGGACCCAAGCGCTCCTTTCTGCCATGTGCAGCACCTTCCTTTCTCAACAAGGAGGTATTTCTGCTGTTGTTGTGGTTTTAACCCCAGCTGGCAACGAGGACCGTGCAGCTGCTCGCTCGCTTACTTCTCCCTCCCCGTCGGTGGGATGAGAAAAGAATCGGGGAAAATAAAGAAAAAAACTCGTGGGTTGAGATAAAGAAGTAAAGCAAAAGCTGCACACGCAAGCAAAGCAAAAGAAGAAATTAATTCCCTGCTTCCCAACAGCAGGCAGGTGTCAGCCATCTCCAGGAGAGCAGGGCTCCATTGTGTGTAATGGTTGCTTGGGAGGACAAACGCCCTGACTCTGAGTGAATCCTGAGCATGTCACTTGCTATGGGATATCCCTTTGGGCAGTTGGGGTCAGCTGTCCCCAATGTGTCCCCTCCCAGCTTTTCCTGGCCCCCCAGCCTACTGGCTGGCGGGGTGGTGTGAGGAGCAGAAAAGGCCTTGACTGCTCAGCAACAACCAAAAACATCAGTGCATCATCAACATTATTCTCATCCTAAATCCAAAATATAGCACTACATCAGCAGCTGGTAAGAAAGTTAACTCCATCCTAGCCGAAACCATGACAGCTGTTTTTCAAAGGTTTTGGTCTGTACCTACAACCTCTTTGCGTGGGTTTTTTTTCCTCTCGTGTCAGAGATGCTGAATCTTGAACAAAAGTGCTTTTGCCAAGTTCTTGTGTTAAAGGTAACTTTTAAGCCCAAGGAGGTGGTGTCCATCCCTCCTCCTCTCTGCTGCAAGTCAGTGGGGTTCTTGCCTTCATGCTACGGGTGTAACAACGCTGTTTTGTCTCTCTCTCATCCTGCTTCAGTTTGGAAACTCAATATGGAGAAAAAGTCCTGGTTGTCTGTTGTTTAGAAGCAACACTATCATCCCTGATGGGGCTGTGATATAGTTCAGTTACAGTGCAAAGCATGGCATCGCTTTGATCCTCCATCCTGTTTTAGTAGGTACCGCTGGAACCGCAAGGGACAAGTTGCAAGGGATTATTTGCATCAGCTCTGCAGCAAGGTGGCTGGATTTCCACGCAGGGCCTTCCCCTCTCTTCTCTCTCCACCCAGTTCTCTGTGTGACCCTGAGCTTTTTTTTCTCTTCCCAGGCTTTAAACCTTCAAGGCAGGCTGAAATTCCTTCACGGGCAGAACAAAAGGTCTGAAGATGGGTCTGCGCTGCCACCCCAGCTCGCTCTCTTTGCTATCTCCACTCCCTTGCAGCCCCCATCCATCCTGCAGATCCGAACCAAGAACATGATCTTCAGGACGAAGCACAAGCTGGACTTCACCCCCTTGGCGTGCGATGCCAAGTAAGCAGCAGAGCTGATCTGAGGGGTGATGCTGTGGGCTTCCAGCATGCTGGACCATACCCTGCCTGGGTGATGTCCCACCCTGGCTCTGCCTCTGAGCTGAGTGCATTCTCCATCTCCTGCAGGGGGAAGATCGTTTTGGGCTACACTGAGGCGGAGCTGCGGGTGTGCGGCACTGGCTACCAGTTCGTCCATGCTGCTGACATGCTGTACTGTGCAGAGAACCACATCAGGAGTAAGAGTCCCTTCCTCGGTCCCTCGTACCCACCTCTGAGGCTGATGAGTGGGCTGGGCTATGGGCAGCTCCATTGGCTGCTGTGTCAAGCCTGGCAGCTCTTTCACAGAATCCCATGGGGTTGAAAGAGATCTCTGGAGATCATCCAGTCCAACTCCCTGCCAGAGCAGGGCCACCCAGAGCAGGTCCCACAGGAACGTGTCCAGGTGGGGTTTGAATGTCTCCAGAGAAGGAGACTCCACCACCTCCCTGGGCAGCCTCTGCCAGGGCTCTGCCACCCTCACAGCAAAGAAGGTCCTCCTCATGTTGAGCTGGAACTTCTTATACTCAAGTTTGTGCCCATTTCCTCTTGTCCTGTCCCTGGGCACCACTGAAAAAAGACCGGCCTCATCCTCCTGACACCCTCCCTTTAAGTATTTATCAGCATCGATCAGATCCCCCCTCAGCCTTCTCTTTTCCAGACTAAAAAGGCCCAAGTCCCTCAGCCTTTCCTCATAAGAGAAATGTTCTAGACTCTAATCATCTTTGTAGCCCTCTGCTGTCCCCTCTCCAGCAGTTCCCTGTCCTTCTGGAACTGGGGAGCCCAGAACTGGACCCAGTGCTCCAGATGGGGCCTCCCCAGGGCAGAGCAGAGGAGCAGGATGACCTCTCTCAACCCACTGGACACACTCTTCCTGATGCCCCCCAGGATGCCATTGACCTCCTTGGCCACAAGGGCCCATTGCTGGCTCATGGGCATCCTGTTGTCCACCAGGACTCCCAGGTCTTTCTCCTCAGAGCTGCTCTCCAGCAGGTCACCCCCAACCTGTCCTGGTGCAGGGGGTTATTCCTCCCCAGGTGCAGCACCCTGCACTTGCCTTTGTTGAAGTTCACCTGGTTCCTTTCTGCCCAGCTCTTTAGGCCTTGCTGTGAAGCTCTTGTCGCTGCAGGGAGCTTGGGGTGGTGTGTGGTGAGGGGTATTTAGCTGGGATGGTGTCCCCTGCATCCGCCAGCCGTGCTACCTCTGTGATGCCACCTGGAAACATCAGCATGGCTGGAGACAGCGCTGCCTCTGGTGAGGTGCTGACAGCCCCTCGGCACGTGTGCTTCCTCCTGGCAGTGATGAAGACGGGTGAGAGTGGCCTGACGGTCTTCCGCCTGCTGACGAAGGAGAACCGCTGGAGGTGGGTGCAGGCCAACGCGCGGCTCGTCTACAAGAACGGCAAGCCTGAGTACATCATTGTCACACAGAGACCCCTGGTGTAAGTGCGGGTGGGGACAGACTGGCTTTTTGGCTTTTTTTTCCATCGGTGTGGGCTCTGGGACACCCCGAGCAGGGCAGCATGGCTGGAGAGCTGCCGGGCAGAAAAGGACCTGGGGGTGTTGGTGGACTGTCGGCTGAACAGGAGCCAGCAGTGTGCCCAGGTGGCCAAGAAGGCCACCAGCATCCTGGCCTGTGTCAGGAACAGCGTGGGGAGTAGGGCCCGAGAGGTGATTGTCCCCCTGTACTCGGCACTGGTGAGGCCTCACCTTGAGTACTGTGTCCAGTTTTGGGCCCCCTACCATAAAAAAGACCTCGAGGTGCTGGAGCGGGTCCAGAGAAGGGCGACAAAGATGGTGAGGGGTCTGGAGCACAAGTCTTATGAGAAGAGGCTGAGGGAACTGGGGGTGTTCAGCCTGGAGAAGAGGAGGCTGAGGGGAGACCTTATTGCTCTCTCCAACTCCCTGAAAGGAGGGTGTAGAGAGGTGGGGGTCGGTCTCTTCTCTCAAGTCACAGGCGACAGGACGAGAGTTGCACCAGGCCTCAAGTTGCACCAGGGGAGGTTCAGGCTGGATATTAGGAAAAATTTTTTTCACTGAAAGGGTTCTCAGGCATTGGAATGGGCTGCCCAGGGAGGTGGTTGAGGCCCCATCCCTGGAGGTGTTCAAAAGACGGGTTGATGTGGTGCTGGGAGGTATGGTTTAGTGATGATGCTCCTTGTTTGTTGTGTGGGTGTCTATTTTTGTCAGTTAGGTTGATGGTTGGACAAGATGATCTTGAAGGTCCCTTCCAACCTAGAAGATTCTGTGATTCTGTGATTCTGTGACTTGTCACTGCTTCTTCTGCCTTTTAAAGGGGCAGCCACAGCATCCTGTGCTTCGGTGCTGTTCAGCCACTTTCCCCTCTGCAAGGCCACCCTATAAATAAGGGAGAAGGCTGAGCAGTGCCCTGCACCTCACCAGGGCAGGGATGTGTCCTGGGCACTGGTTCAGCCTTTCCCTGGAGAGACCAGTGGCTGCTCTCTAGCAGCTGTAGGGACTTGTGGGTGCAGGAACAACGAGGACCTCAGATGTAGCTGCCCTATGGCAGCAGCCAGACAACCCCCTCCTAAGGGGTGGCTGCAGCATAGATGAGCAGGGAAAAGGTGTGTCTTCTGCCTGGCAGAGCTCTCTTAGCCTTTACATTTTAAGTATCCTCTTGGTTACACTACAGATGTGTGGGTGTAGGTGTGTATGTACAAAAACATGTATGTGTGTGTGTATCTGTATGTAAATGTATATGTAAATGTGTATGTGCATGGTTCTGCTCGGTACTTGCATGCTGGTGGTAGCAAAGCTTGCAGAAATCACAATTATTTGCTGCAGAAGCATTTTGTGGGGTGTGTTGGTCCACATACAAGCTGCGGTCTCCTCTTCCTGCCCTGCAGAGATGAAGAAGGAGGAGAGCACCTTCGGAAACGGTCCATGCATCTGCCCTTTACCTTTGCTACAGGAGAGGCACTCTTATACAAAAGTGCTTACCCTCTCCCGGGCTTCCCTGACCCTTTCAAGAGTAAAGGGAAAGCCAGCAAGTCCAAGAAGACCTTCCATAGCCACAGAGGGCGTTCCCAGAAGGATGGAGTTGACCCCAGTTCTCTGCTGGGCGCTGTGATGCGACAGGACAAGGCAGTGTATGTCTCCCATCCAGATCCCACACCTAACTGCTCCTTTAGCAGCAGTTTTGTGGACCACCTCGAGGATGTGTCCTTGCTGGGTGCAGGAGGAGATGCCTGGAGTATGGGCACTGCTCCAGTTTCCTCAAGTGGGGACAGCCTCAAAGAGGAGCTGGTGGATTTGCAGCAGGAGGACCCTCTCTTGGCCACCCTGGACTCGCTCTCAATTAAGAGTGACGAGAGCTGTTCCAACAAAGAGCTCTTCAGCGCGCTGGAGGGGCTGGGGCTGAACGCTGAAGACTTGGAGCTCCTGCTGCTGGATGAAAAAATGGTGATGGTCAATATGGGCCCTGACCGCACCCCCTCCCTGAATGACTGCTTCACCAGCAATGATGTTCTCTCCTTCATCCATGCCGCTCTGGTGAACAAGCGTGAGGGAGGACAACAGCTCTGTCTCCTGCCGGGCACATCCCCGAGCCCATGTGGAGGCACCGCCATGTACCAGGCCCGTGAGGAAGAGGAGGAGGACTCACAGTGCCTGCCCCAGCAGGGGGTCCAGCCTGCCGTTGCCCCAGGCCAGCCCCCTGCCCTGCTGTGGGAACAGCCCCTCTGTGCCACTCGGCGGCCCCCCAAGCCAGCTGAGGAGGAAGAGCCCTCTGAAGGTTTGCAGTGGAGGCCAGACAGGGAGGAGGGTCTGCTCCGTTTCCTCCAGCCAGCATGGGGCACCCCGTGGGACAAAGTTCCCAGGTCACCCCCAGGAGCCCCCTGTCCACAGGAGCCACCCAGGGCTCAGCGGCTGGAGGGTAACTTGCTGGCCATGCGTCCCACCCAAGAGGATGCTCACCAGTCCTTCCAGTGCCAGGGCTGCATGCGACCACCCAGCCAGCTGAAACACCACCACTTGCCAACGAACGGGTTGTGTGGCCACAGCCCTGACTCTGCTCCACACCTCTTTCCTAGCAACAGCCCCAGCCCATGGCAGGACTATGTCTCCCCTCTCCTAGCGTCCCCTGCTCAGCCTGGTTTTTATGGCACCAGCCAAGACTTGATCTCCCAGGATCAGGGCTGCTTGGGTCCAGGGCCCAGCATGCCAACCCTACACTTTAATCTGAACGGATTATGCAGCGTGGAGACGGCAGGCAGTGGGGGGTCCCAAGAAGAGATGGGTCCATACTCCAGTTTTTTCCCCTCCTCCTCATACCAGCTTAATCCCGAGAAGCAGCTGAGCCCTGTTCCCTCCGTGCCCCAGCACCCTTTCCCAAGCTCTGCTGCAGGGCGCGTTGGGAGCGTTGGCAGTCCCTTGGAGACTCCTGTCAACTCCTACGGGACATACACCTACCCGCTGAGCCAGGAGAGCAGACACAGGGTAAGGGTCTTTCTCCACTCTCGTGCTCAGTATTTTCCATGTTGGTGTTTCCTGGGGGTCTCAGCACAAGGAGGCAAACACTGGCCGGGATGGGGCTTTGAGCAACCTGGTCTGGTGGGAGGTGTCCCTACCCAGGGCAGGGGGGTTGGAACTCCATGATCTTTAAGGTCTCTTTCAACTCTAACCATTCTGTGATTCTGTGGTTCATTCTACTGTCGGGTCAATAGACAGGAATTGCCTTCTTTAGCTGGTGCATGGCTAAAAAGAAAGACTTTAGGGTGTTTTCTTTGCACCAAGAGTTGATGAGCGAAAGACCAGAGTGTGGATTCTTCCCTTCAGAAGGTGGTACAAAGCACACATGAGATGAAGATCTTCTGTCCCATAAGGTCTTTCCTTTGTGGAAGCATTCCTTGGCCAATGTCTCTCCCTGTTGAGAGCCCATCCAGCTGCTGGTAGACATCCAGCATTGCAGGTGGGGTCTCCAGCATTGGATCTGAGTGTCATGGGCCCTTCAGGGCTCTGCTCACAAGTGACTCTCCTGGCACTGGGACCAACAGCCCCTGTGGGGGCTGCTTAGGGAGGGCATAGCAAGAGAAGGCTGCCTGGCCCTTTCCCCTCTCTGTGATGCAGATGCCATGCATGTCTGTGAGGTCCATGAGCTTTCTGGGCTAGGGTCAATAACGTGGAGACCTGGTCCAGGTCCTGGAACAGCCCATCTGCAAGTGATGCTTCCCCAACCTGTGGCACCACCAGGCAGGGTGGTGAGGCAGGGTGAGATGTCCAGTGGTCTGTCCTGCCTCCCTGCTTACCCAGCTCTGCACTGGTGACTGCTGTCCCCTGGGTGGCTTGTGCCTTGCTGCTGGACATCTTCTGCTACTCGAAGGCTGCCCTGCTGTCTCACAGGGGTCTCTGTTAACTTGTGGGGCCAACAGATGTTGTCAAAGCATCTTCTGCTGCTTCTTGGAGGCCAAACTGTGCACCTCAGATCTTTCCATTCTCCAACTCTATACGCCAGGTACCTTCTAGCTCTGTTGAAGAGCTTGACTCTGATCCTGCCTTCAGGTTTGAGGAACAGCGAAGAACAGCCCAGATGCATCTCGAGAACTTGGTGGCCGCTTCATGTGGCTGGCATGTTTTTGGCTTGCCAGGAGCAGTGCAGCAAGGGTGAAAAACCCAGGTGCTTGCTTCAGATGAGGTCCAGGTGCCCATGATTTAGGGATAGAGATTTTCATGAGTGAGCTGCAGGGCTGTGATACCTGGGTCAGGTTCTACAAAGGTCAATTACCAGGACAGTAGGTGAAAATTAGTGCCAGCTGAGGAGGTTGGATGCACGTGCCTTCTCTGCACTTTCAGCCTCTCGTCAATTAAGTGACGTGTTGGTGTTTGTGAGAGAGGATGTGGGGGCATGTATGGGGTCGCTGCTAAACCCCAGTACCATCGGTGGTGTAGGGTAGGGTGGTAGAGCTGCTCCTGCTCCTGCCAGCTTCCTCTGGGCACCAGCCCCATAGGTACTAGTAAAACATTGCGAAACGCCTCAATGCTCTGTTTTCTCTCTCTCTTCTAGCCTGAAAGCAGCTGTGTTTTGCCCAGCACTCCCATGGGACTCCCCAGAGACCGCCCAGTGCTGGGGGGGACCCCGGCTCTCCCCTGCCAGCTGCACCCCCTGCCAGCTGCACCCCCGGATTATCCTCATGCCTCCAGCGGCAACTTCTGTCTCTAGGAGTGAAAGACTCAACTGGACAAAGTAGACCTACTCCCTGGGGAAGGAGCTGCCTTCAAGTTGCAAATAACAAACCTTCCCCCTGCCACCCGTGTCCTGCCATTGCTCTTGATGTGTGTTGCTTTGGCTCAGATAGGGTTTTGGGTTTTTTTTTTTACTTTTTTTTTTTTTTTTAATCTTATTTTTTTATCAACCTCCCACCACCCTGCCCCTGTTGAGGCTCCATGTGCTGGTCCTGTGAAGGTGTCCCTGGCCTGGGGAGGGTGGTGGCTCTCAGTGGGGCTGGAGGGCAGGTTCCCCTGGGGTACAGGAGCGAGCTGGGCTGCAACGTGGGTCAGCTGGCACGTCCAGCCTTGTCTGTATCTTGTGGTGTCCAAGAGTTGTGTGGGTCTTGGTTAGTTGGAGGATTTCAGACTTTGGAGTATGTTTGTCACTTGCCATCTCTCATCCCACCCCCTGACCGCCTTGCTCTTGTTTCCCTGCCCCTCCTGTCTGCATATCTTACTGAGTGTCACCTTGTTTGGGCCTTTTGTCATTGCTGCTGCCTTTTAAATGGCATTCAGAGACTGTCACTCTGGAAAGAAGAAGACAATTGCTCTCTGTTGCCAGCCGGGCTGCCATGTTGAAGGTGTGACATTCATGTGGCCAATCCCGCACTTTGCCAAGAATGCAGGGAGCGAGCTCTCCATCACACCAGTCTTTGCAGTTCTGCCATTAACAAAGTGCATTTTTGGTGTGTTTTGCCAGGCTTTTGGGAACCCAGGCTGCTTCCACAGCTGCCACGGTCTGGTTGTCCCCACAGTGTCTGTGGAAGGCAGCCCTGTCCTCAAAGGACAGGCGGGTTTGGGATGACTAACGTCCTCCAGCTTCACCAAAGCTTTGCAATTACATGCATGACCCTACACCCTACAGATGTGAAAAAACAGGAAAGGTTTTCACCTCTAGTGTTAAATTTCCTGCCATCCCGGCCAGACACCTGTGGCTGTGCCCATGTTGTATAGTTATTGCCTCTTTTATAAAGAAAGTGAACCCTGACTTGTGTTCTCGTGTTGCACTGGTCCTTTCCCAAGACCAGCTTTCCCTGTGTCCCAAGTGTTCCCAGTTGTTAGGATCCAGATTAGACCTCCTGTAGCAAACACCCTGGGTTCTGCTGTATTGTACATGATGGGTCCAGGTTGGCTGACAAGCAGTTTTTCTCCTGGTTGATAGGGTGGGAAGTACTGGATGGGTCTGAAGTGGGGATCTTTCCCAAACAGCAGGAGCAGGCTGGCGTAAAAGATTGCAGAGAAATAGTGTAGCTGCCTAACCTAAGGAGGTGATTTCAGATTTACTGTACAAAAAAAAAAAAAAAACAAAAACAATAACATAAAGAAAATCATAAAAAATATACTTAAGATACTTACAGAGTAATTTTTTTTCCCCACAAAAAATAAATACAGCCCATTTGTGTGTACATAATGAGTTGACAGACTTATTTTTATGGCATTCCACTGGAGGGGAAAAAAAACCCTCTCACTTTCCCGAAGTAGCATCCTATGGGATGGGACAGAGAAGCTGTTCAACTGATCAGAAATACAGTGACCTTTTAAGAAACCTGACAAAGCGTCATCCCTCCTCCTGCATGTCTCGCTTTGGTTTCGTGTGAACTTTCTGTTCTTTTCAGGTCAATAAATGGTTTCGGACCTCAGCTCCAGCCATCTCGCTTGCTGGTTGCATGTCTCTGTCTCAAGCGTGTTGGGGTTTGGCCAATTGCAGCATTGGGCCCAGGCCCTGCTGTTGGCAAACCAGGCAGGGCTCACCCTCACGTGACTGAGGTGGTAGCAAGCTGTCCAGTCGAAGTGGTTAAAAAACCTTCCTCTGTTTCCCCCACTAGAGGAAGGCAGAGCCCCTTGAAGGCTCCTACACAGGGGTTTTCTCAGCTTGTTGAGAAAACAAGCTTTTCCTTGTTCCTGGGAGGACGCCCAAGTCACACGGTGGAGAGAGCCCAGCCTGGGGACCTTTATCCACTGCTTTTGGTCGATAGCTGAGGTTTACAGGGCTGGAGAAGGGGTCAGCTGAGATTCTGCATGAGTTTGGGGTGTAGGCTGGCTTTGGTTTCTGCTGGCCCTACCTCTACTTAGGGAGATCTGAGCTGCTGCTGTGTGATGTTCAGCCCTTGGAGAAGAAAATTCCTCCTGTATACAATTGCCCTTGGTTCAGTGCCGTTGTCCCATCTGATGCTGGGGACTGCCAGGTGGTGATGTTCAGCCCTTGGAGAAGAAAATTCCTTCTGTATACAATTGCCCTTGGTTCAGTACCGTTGTCCCATCTGATGCTGGGTGCGACCTCTACTTAGGGAGATCTGAGCTGCTGCTGTGTGATGTTCAGCCCTTGGAGAAGAAAATTCCTTCTGTATACAATTGCCCTTGGTTCAGTACCGTTGTCCCATCTGATGCTGGGTGCAGGATGCACAGCCTGGAAGAACCCAAGAGAGCACGGCCACCCCACCCCAGCTTTCACCCAGTTTCCAGCTCCTGCTGTGGATGTCTCTGAGGCCCCACGGGTACCTGGGGGGACTTTCCAAAGCCCCTGGAAAGTCACTGTGGGGACAACCAAATGCTCTGTTGAATCCCAGGTGCTGAGCACTAGCCAGCTTTATTCTTGAGCCAGATCCTGGGTGTGTGGGCAATCATACCATTGCCAAATACTCTCACTGGTTTCTCCTTTCCCTTGCCACTCATTTCCACAGCCCCAAGAGCTTCCCAGCAGCCAAATGACCTAGGGAGGACTGCAGCCCTCCTGGCTTTGGGAGCAGGGTGCTGTGGTTCACTGAGCCATGTGTCAGTTTGCCCAGTGCTGTGCTTCTACGAGGTCTGTGGAGCAAAAGCCATCATCTCTGCACCAGGAGGTGCCCTGCAGCAAGTGCCCTGTGCTCTCCAAGGAGGCCAGTACATCCATAATTCACGCCCATCCTCACACCAGCTGCTGCTTGTTTTCCCCTGGCCTTATTCACAGAATCACAGAATCTTCTAGGTTGGGAGGGACCTTAAAGATCATCTTGTCCAACCGTTCAACGTAACCGACAAAAATAGTCACCCACACAACAAACAAGGAGCAAAATAATTGCAGCGCGCCGGGGCAGTGCAAGGAGCCTGGCTGGAGAAAAACCTCCCACGTGAGCTGCAGCAAAGGAGAAGCCACCATTCAGCATCCACCGCCTGCCCTGAGCCATGGTGGTAGAAAAGGGGGCTCAGGCAGATGGGTTGTGGCGCTCTTGTTCGCACTCTTGGGGCAAGTGCTGTCTCATGGGGTGAGTTCACCCTTGAAGAGCTGGACAGGCCTGAGGAAGGTGTTAGAAAAGAAGACACAGAGATTTGGGGATGCTTGTGCAGCTCTGGGCTTGGCTCTGTCCAAGGAAGAGGAAGAAGAGCTGTGGTGCTCCTGGCTCCAGTCTCCTCGCAGCAGGGGAAGATGTGTTCCTCAGGGGTCAGTACTGGGACCAGTGCTGTTCAACATCTTCGTTGGAGACATGGACAGTGGGATAGAGTACACCCTCAGCAAGTTTGCCAATAATACCAAGCTCAGTGGCATGGCCAACACACCGGAGGGAAGGGATGTCATCCATAGGGAAGTTGACAGGCTTCAGAGGTGGGCCCATGACAACCTCATGAAGTTCAACCAGGCCAAATGCAGGGTCCTGCACATGGGTCACGGCAATCCCAGGCACAAATACAGGTTGGGCGGAGAATGGCTGGAGAGCAGCCCTGAGGAGAAGGACTTGAGGGGGTTGGTGGATGAGAAGCTCAACATGAGCCGGCAGTGTGCACTGGCAGCCCAGAAAGTCAGCCGCATCCTGGCCTGCATAAAGAGAAGCGTGGTCAGCAGGTCATGGGAGGTGATTCTACCCCTCTGCTCTGCGCTCGTGAGACCCCACCTGGAGTCCTGTGTCCAGCTCTGGAGTCCTTAGGACAGGAAGGACATGGACCTGTTAGAACCGGTCCAGTGGAGGGACATGAAGATGATCAGAGGGATGGAGCACCTCTCCTATGAGGACAGGCTGAGAGAGCTGGGGTTGTTCAGCCTGGAGAAGAGAAGGCTCCAGGAAGACCTTAGAGCAGCCTTCCAATATCTGAAGGGGCTACAGGAGAGCTGGGAGTGCAGTGACAGGACAAGGAGGAATTGTTTTAAATTGGGAGACGCTCGATTTAGATTAGATATTAGGAAGGAATTCTTTCCTGTGAGGGTGGTGAGACACTGGAACAGGTTGCCCAGAGCAGCTGTGGCTGCCCCATCCCTGAAGTGCCAGGCTGGATGGGGCTTGGAGCAACCTGGTCTGGTGGGAGGTGTCCCTGCCCAGGGCCGGGGGGTTGGAACTCCCTGATCTTTAAGATCCCTTCCAACCTAAACCATTCTATGATTCTGTGTGTTTGGGTGGCCTTACTCCAGGTGTACTGAGGAGGTGAAACTCTTACACCTGGCACTCTGCTCTGCCTACACCCCTCCTAGTCCTATGCCCTCCATGCACTCTGCTCTGCCTCCATGTCCAGGGCCTACCAGCGACTCTGCTGTGTAGTTACAGGCAGCCAAAAGTACATGACTTACATGTGGATCCAAAAGATCAAGTTGTGTTAGAACAGCACAACTAAAGACTTACTGAAGTCCAGTTGGGTGCCTTACAAGCACTGATGAGTTGCAGCCTTCTTGCATGGGGAGATGGAAGCTGGTGGTGAGAAGGGGCTGGGTCTGGATGAGAGCCCCATGCCCTCTCGAGGAACAGCCCCTGGTGTCCCCTTACCCATAGCAGAGGATGCAGCTGACCTGGGAGCAATGGTGAAAGCATCATGGCTCTCTTCATGCCCTGCTGGGGAGGGAGGGGATTTAGTGGTTTTGATGGCATGGATGCAGGGGAGGAGGAGAGCAAAGGCTATTATTATTTTTTTTTCCCTCTGCATCTTTCTCCTTTGCCCTCATGCCCACCGTTTTCCCAAGCTGTAGCAAATCCCAACCAGAGCAGTGCCTGCCAGTTGCAGCCTGCAGCAAAAGGAGGCTCCCGGCTCGATCCAGCTGGGAGAGGTAATATCTGATGTTGCCTGCATCATGAGGCTGAAAGCACCTGTCCCCAGGTGGCATCATGGAGGCCAGGAGCAGATGTCTCCCAGGGCACCAAGGCGGCAGAGAGCAAGGTAAATATTTCTCTGAAAGCTCAGCCTGGTGTTTGCCCACACCACCTACGTGCGCCATCCATTATACATGGGTGCTGGAGCTGTGGGCAGTAGAGCAGAACACTTTCTGATGGTTTGTGCATTAAATAGAGATGAAGGAGGACATGGGGGTTGTGTGTGTTCATTCACATCTTCTCCGGCTGTGGCTCAGTGCTGGGCAAGAGGAGAGCTGTGGACCGGTGCTGCATCCTGACTTGGGACACCAGGTGTAAAGGTTGTAAAGGGAACTAGTGTGTTCCTGGGGCACAGCTGAGAATTTCACTTTTATATAAACAATTAAAAAAAAACAACTCAGCCTGGGGCACAGCTGAGAATTTCACTTTTATTTAAACAATTAAAAAAAATAACTCAGAAAAAAAGTATAAAGTCTCTTCTAATACACAGGTACTATAGAAATATGGAATTTGCAATGATTTGTACCCAATACTGAGTTGAGTGGCCAGCCGCGTGCACAACCTTCTCTGCCTTTCCTGTACGATGGGCATTAGATATCAGCCATCTGCCCAGAGAAATATATTTGTGAATTCTTTTCATAGGTCCAAAGGCGATCCAAGCCTGGCTGGTGATATGGAGAATGATGGAGCACATCAGCCATCATTCTGGAAGGAATGACCAGCTCATGAGTAGGAGGTACCTTTGAACAACGATACTGTTGTTATTATGTTTATCATCATCATTATTATTATTGCCTGGACCTAGGAAAGATAGATTTGGATGGGCTGAAACTTTTCATGTTGTTTGATAAATGTGTGTGTCACAAAAAAGAATCGTGACGCTAATATGAAGTCTCTATATAGGAAATGTTTTTGGTTCCCTTGTTTAATTATTTAATACTGAAACTTACTTATAGGTTTTCTTGACAGGTTTTAGAAAGGTGCAGTCAAAACCCAGCATTGCATTTAACCTCCAGTGAAACACTTCTTTTCAACCCAGAACATGTTAGCTTTCATTTTATATTTCTTAGTTTCTGCGTAGTTTGAGGGTACTAATTTTAGGTTGACAGGAGGAACACCTACATGGGAGTGATCTAGATCACCAGAGGTCCCTGGGGACCAGCAACGGTGTGTCTGAGACAGGCAAGGACCTGAGCTGCTGACATATCTATAACCAAAGATGGCAAGAGGATGAAGTCAGAATCTCCTACACCAGCCTTGCTGGACACCAGGACAGCACTAGTAGACTGGGGAGGCAGAAAAGGACCATCCATGCTTCTCTGGCATAGATTCACGAATGAATGCTGTCAATCAGCCCTGTCTGGCTGACGTGTTGCTGTGATGGGGTGGTTCCCCAGGAGTGCAGGGCTTGGTTTCTGCAGAGCCAGCCCATTTTCTTAGGAGGGCAAGGGGGGCTGCATTACTTTGCCCGTTTGTACC